GCCTGCTAGAGACCATCTTGTGTTCGTATTGACTCTACGTGTAATATATTCTTTACAGAATTCGGAACAATCTTTTAAAAGAACTATTAAAGACCATTTGTGAGGCAGCGTGGTGGAATCAGGCTCTCGTCAAAATAATCAAAGTGAAGAAACTTGCATTTTTTCGCAGGTTTGTGAATTTTTATCAAAATGTTGTTTTTTGGCTCAGCACCTTTCCTGCCCATTAAAGAACTCATTTCTGTGTGGATTTTTCTGAAAAACGTTGATTAAAGGCACAAAATATGTAAATTTTCAGTTACCACGGACTCATAAGCTAAGGAAATAACTAATCTTTGGCGGCCATTTTCTCACGAATTTTACCTCTGAAAACAGGTGACCCCCATCTCCTTCATTCACAAATATCTCGACTTGTATTCAAGACAAATGGATATTTTTTTCAACCAAATAAAGACAAGTGAACAAGGTTTAAGATGATACCAATAACTGTACATGCCCAAAAATTGACGAGAGCCTGATTCCACCACGCTGCCTCACATTTGGGAACCGAAAAGGATCTGAGTTATAGAGGGAAGCTAGTGATTATAGAAGAGACGACAAAATGGGTTGCATTCAAAGGTGGAATAGCCTTCTATGTAGTAAGAGTGAGCCGCTGCACCTTACAAACCACACCAACAACACCTGTTACTTACTTAAAAACGAAAGTCGAGAGCAGAGGCAGTGTATTGGGTTCCCGCCAAGTAAGAGGGAAAGTCCGTGGGCTTTCGTCTGAGGATGTTTGTCCAAAGCCGTCATTTCCTGCTGCTCCAGGGTGGAGATGGCATTGTGACGTAAGTCCAGGACCTTCAGCGCGGGCATGTTAGAAACGTCGAGTCCCAGAGAAGTGAATTTGTTTTGTGTCAGTACTACAGTGGTCAGTTTCCAGTTGGTGGAAAATGTGCGTCGGGGGAAAGAGTGGAGACGATTGTCACTCACCTCGACGTGCTCAAGTTTCGGGGTTGCATCGAACCATCGTTCGTCAAAGATTAAATGAAGAAAGTCTTTGCTGGCCAAAGAATTCAAAATGATAGTCTGCGCATTTGGAAACATTTTAAAAAAGTTTACTCTTATGAAACGTTTCACCTCCGATCTTGTGATGTCCACGAGTGTCGTGTTTTCAAGTCCTGTTATAATCCCGTACATTTCCAGTCGAGAACTGCTGACATAGCGGAATTCTCGAAAGTTTTCTCCTCCCCACACATGAAAGTTGTGTATTGGAAAAACACCCAAGGAACCGAAAAATATGCACTGTTTGAGTGTTTTGGGAATTTTAATTGAAAACGCAGATTTGTCTAAAGCGGTCGAAGTTTGCGGCACGGGTTTCAAATGTGAAAAGTGGCGTCTTTGAAATACCGTGGCCTTTTTGTCACTGTTCAAACGATCGTGGATTTTACTTGAGGTCAACATAGTTTCGCCTTTGAAAGTTTCAAAATGTTCTGAGCTCGTTTGATATTCACTGCTCACATTTTGATAACTAGACAGTTTGAAGTGAATATCTGGCCCACACCATTCAAACCCACCGTATTGTAGCTCCTCAAGTCTTTGGAACTGAAATATATTCAAAAGTAGAACTCTTTGTTGATGTAGCCTTCCTAACAACTGCTTGGTAAACTGCAGACTTCTCACGCATCTCTTCATGTTGGATGGGCCATCAAATCCACGAGAGTCCATGGACCCAATGCTGCACTTGTTCCAAATCAGTTGTAAAAAACATATGCCTCTTAGATACTTCACATCATCCTTTTTTATATCTCCGTCTGCGAACATTTTCTCTGGGGTGGCCCATGTTCCTTGCAGACCCAAACTTTCAAGTTGGATCACAGTCATCGTTTTGTTTTCAAAGGGCCACAGAGACCGAAGAACGATCTTGTTTGAAATACTCGTTTCCTTCATCCGGAGGACTTGCAATGTCTCCAAGTATCGGAATACTCCAGTTTCAAAAGCTACTTCATAGCCCATTGTTGAGGAAGCGAGAACAAGCTCTTGCAGAGACACGTTCTGGAAACCTGCCAGGCTTTCGTTCGTTATTTTGGTTACATTAGAGCAGTCAATATGAAGGTAGATCAGATTCTCCAAACTGGCAAAGTCTTGTCCCAAGTACAAAGTTGAATTTCTATCCAGTGATAGTCTCTGTAACTGCTTTAGGTCAGAAAACGTCTTTGCAAACGCTTTATGTGGATGTTTCGTCTCCCCGTTCCTGTTGCCTTTTAGGTACAAATTGACGACGTTTGGTACGTGAGAGAAGATACGTGGAGGAATCTGAGACAAATCAATGTTGTTGTTTTCCAGATTTAGCTCTTCCAGTCGTCCAAGTCCCATCAACGCATTCTCCTGTAACAAAGGAGTCAAAGAGATAGAAGGAAAGCCAAACGCAACAGCGCAACAATTCAAAAACGTCAAGACATCAATCAGATATTGACAAGAAACGGCACGTTAATATACCATATTATATACTTGCTTGTAATAAGAACGAGTTTTAATATTTTTAAGATGAGACCAAAAAGTATTCTTTTCTTCTTTCTCTCTAGGCGTAGTGCGTCCACTGCAGGATGCAACCCCCTGAACAACGACACCCACTGTTTTATCAGCTGTCTTTCGTGTCCAGATTATACCCGTCTGCTTTCTGACGTCAATTTGTCATGGTTTTTTTCCGGTTTTCACAAAAGTACACCACCACCCCCCTCCGGTATTACGCGTGCATCATACAGCCAGGGTCAGACCCAACAAAGGGGGCCATCCCACCGAGGAAGAAATGGTCCATGCCTACGAGGCTGGGGGTACAAACCATGAAACTATTAGTAATCATTACAAGAGAGAAAGTACTAGGCACGTAAGTTCGATCTTCTGCTTTTTTATAACAGCTAC